GAGCCCACTCCCGAGGGAAAACTTGCATTGATACAGCAAGTAGATGGATCTCCGTACGACATACACCCATGCGCTCCACCCCCCAACCACGCCCTACACATCAGGGACAACCCGCGTGGTCGGTGAGGTTCAAGCGACTGACCCGCGGGTTTCATGCTGACGAAAACGTGCAGCGTGTCCAAACCACGTGGCCACCAAAACTCTGTGCTTAATTCCATGGATAAGAGGCAAACAAAACCAGATTGTTTTTGTCTGTTGTCCAAAGAGGAGAGAATGAAAGCTCCTTGCCTTCCGTCTTTCTGGTTCAAGGTAAAACCGGATATTCCTACCCAAGCCAGAGATCCGTGTCAGTATACGGGGCGGGGAGGGGGATGAGATGCAACCTCACGATTCGTACGTGGACGGCTATGCCGTTTCCCTTCGGCGCCGGGTAGACCGAGGACTGCTGCTGTTGTGGTTAACGCGTTGCCAACCTCAAAAAAGAAAAGAGGTGCTGCGCTGCTTCTCCTCCAGCTTGTAACAAAGAGAGAGAGAGTTCTCTCGAAAAGAGAACCAAACTTCTTGGTTGGCGTGCGCATTTATTTGTGGTTCGCGGACACCATCCACCGGCGGCGCTCAAACCGCGGCACGGGCAGTGCCTAAGGCCACTAGATCCCAGGACTCTTCTGAGTCTCACGGCAACGCTGTGCTGCAGCTGCTCAAGCCACTCGTTGCCGCACACGCCAGAGAGGGCGAAGTGCTGGCGGCTCGCGCGAGAGCCGGATGGACAGACGGAGACGACAGACAGAGAACCCCGAAAAAAAATCGCAACATATATTTTTTTCGCCGTCAAACCAACACGTGAGATTTGCCCCCCCCCTTTTGCGCCCACCACACGCGAAGAGGCACACCCTAGAGAGAACCAGCCACCGACGCTGTTGGGTCAGCACCGCACCTCTACTGCTGCGGCCGGCAAAACCGTGCGCGTGCGCTTGTGGATCTCTCTCTCTTTCTTGTGTCGGCGGCAGTGCGTGCGAACCAGATCACACGCTCCCTGCTGAGCAAAAAAGAGCGGGCGATTATTTTCGGACAAGAGGCACGCACCTCGTGAGCTCCGCGACCGTGCTCGAGCCGTCGACAGGCACCAGAAGGCGCCTGGAGGAGACAGGGTCCTTCCCGATATCCACGCGGAGCCGCATCCTCGATGCGGAGGGCGGCGGAGAGGGAGAAGATGACATCCTGATGGCAAAGTCCCCTGGTGTGCTCGGAACCAACTGATGTCGTAAAACCAGCCAACTCGGGTCGAACCTGTTTTTTTTTATTTTTCTCTGTTTTTTTCTGGCTTTTTTTTTCTGGGATCTCTTTTTTTTTTTCGAGGTCTTCGTCGTCGTCGACAATCAATCGTCGACGGGCCCTGTATGTAGTGGCTGCGAAGGGCCAAGTCCCCGACACGCCGCCCCGCGCGCCCTTTTAGAAAATACTTCTATGCATACATACACATTTCTTCGGCATTTTTAGGATTCAATTCAAAGCTCGCTCTGGCTCTCTCTCCAATCGTATTCACAGCATTTTATAGCAACACAGCAGCAAAGAAATGATGGCTCGCACTATTACTTGTTGTAAGCCTCCGTCAACCATCCTTCGGAGAGGAAAAAAAACTCTTCGTAGAGTACTTCACGGCGCAAAACGTCACAACCAACGGATAGGTTGATTCTATGGCCATCAACGACGAGAACCTAGTACCAATACCACTCCGGAGAAGTTTATTTTAGTTCGAATGCATTCAACTTTCCAGTGATTGATCCGGGCTGCCGCATGGGGGATTATCCTCGTTAGTTTGTCTCTTTGTTTTCTACCTCGAAGAGTGAGCAGTCAGTGTCTTCGCCGTCGGTTTTAGTTGTTGGTGTTAGAGGGCGGCCGTCTTCTCTCGGTCCTTTCGGGTATTGTTCGACCAATGTTTTTTTCTTCGGCGGTGCTTACACTAACGTTTGAGCCAACGCTTGCTGCATGAAAACATGCACACAGCAGCAGTACAAGCACAGACGAAGAAGCGATGGCGAATACAGAGCGTCGAATCGACAGTAGTGATTACCATCATCCAAATAGTCCACCGAGAGAGAGAGGCAGAACGGTGAACGCATGTAAGTGCCAACTCTTTGGCACAACGCACTCACTCTCTCTCGCTGAAGTCTACATACTTTGTGCTAAAAACGATAGCAGCTCCGAAGCACCAATTTACCTGCGTTTTTGTGTGCGAAACACAACCAAATAATACCCGAAAGCTCGCCAGAAAGAAACGGCTAGCGTTGGGCGCGCACCGTATACGACACAAGGTAACACACCCCCTGGACCGATGTTCAAAGCTCGATTACTCCACGACGAAAAGGATTAATAAACGAAACGTTACGTTGTCGGAGAGCTCTCAACCAGACGGCTTCAACGCCGCCGTTTTCGACGCTGCGACTCTTTCTGCTGTTGATAAATCGAGCATTGAAAATCGGTCCAGGGGGGGTGTTATCCTGTGTCGTATACGGTACCATAACATCTTCGGAGGAAACGTATGCTTTGCCACAAGCCTGGCTGAAAGCACAGCATCCCATCCACAAAAACAATCACTCTTCGTGCTCGAGTCTGACATGCCTGCGTGCCGAGCGCAGCGCTATCAGTACTGTGGTAGCACGCAATAACGTTTTCCTATTGTTTGCCATACACGATTTTTCCTTTGAGTACCCCCCCCCCCCCCTCCAACCCCCCGTCACAAACGGTCCAGGGTGCCCATCCCCAACAAGCCTAACCCCCGCTCTATCACGTCCGCGGTGCCTGAACAAAAGGCGGTGCGGGACCCCTTGAACTCCTCCGTCTCCCCCGTGTTGACCGGACAGTTCTCGTAAAAACGGTTGAACTGTGAGCTCAGCTCGAACATGTAGTCGCAAAGCCTGTAGTGTAGATAAAAGGACAAGCAGTAGACGCACGTTGCCGGGGGGGGGGGGGGGGGGGGGAAAAAGGGGGACCCCCCAAAACCCCCCTTGTTTTTTCGAGCTCGGGCAGTTTAAAAAAACCCCTTCGCAATCCCAAAAAATACCACATTTTGACCGTCTTTTTCCAACCTGGGGAAAAAAAACCAAACCCCCCCACAAGATTGGTTTCTCTCCGGGGTCCCCCCCCCTTTTTTGGTTGCCGAACACACCATCCTCTAAAAAAAATTCAAAAAATCCCCCCGCCCCGTTTGACCCCCCAAAGTCCCCGTTCTATGGGGGCACTTTTCCCTCCACCCTCTTATCAAAAAAAACCCACAAACCCCTTTTCCTGTTTCGCCCAACCAAACCCCCTGCTGGGGCTCTAGTTTTATTCCCAAACCCCCCACCGGGGGGGAAAAA